CTCCGCAGACCTTTCTCGATTTTTAATATTAAATATACTAAACTAGTGAGCATCACTCCGGGTAATGAGGTTTGCAAGACTTGTTAGTTTATTCTCTGTCGTGTCTCGTTCAACTATAGTAGGCTTTTAGAATCATGCACTAAGACCGTCTCCCACCCTCTCGAGGCCATTATTCAGGCCTTGAGTAAACATATTTCACATCTTTGCCTATCCCTCTTCCTGAATCCGGCCAAACCTTTGTGGTTGGTATTCTTCGAAATAGCCGCTAGCATGCGCATGGCTTGAATACAGGCGCTTAGTGTAATTGCGTTGAAGTATAAACAAGGTTTACCATTTCACTTTGCAGAGTGCGCGTTGCTAACTAGATTAGTATTAAAAAAAACAAAACAAAACAAAACAAAACAAAACAAAACAAAACAAAACAAAACAAAATAAAACAAACAAAAAAAACAAAAAAACAAAACAAAGCAAAAAGAGAAAATGATAAAAACCCATTTGTCTTGACTTAAGATTCTTTCCCAATTTCTTACAGGTTTCTTCGAAATAATGGTCTCACAACAATAGCTGATGGAACATTTCGCCGTTTACGTAATCTCAGTCAATTGTAAGTGTCGTCTCTTAGTTGCAATAACTCCTGCGAATGGCTGACGCTCGCGGAAACTTTAACAGCTTAACGTACAGTGTTTTTCTTCAGTTTTTCTATTTTTTAACTTTTTTTAAAATTTTTATTTTTCCATTTCAAACACGGAGTTGTTTCATTAGTAGTATATTCGGACCAGTCATTTTGACCAAAACCTGACCAATTATCTAGACAGATTTTTCAAAGTACACAACTTGACCCCTTGACGCGGCTTAGCATTTAACACTTAATGACTAATCCCGAGGGGAACAGTAATTTTTATTTCCCGAGGAACGTTGAGATTCGGGGGAAACAAAATTCACTCTTCCCCAAGGGACCAGTCATTAAGTGATTTGCTATATGGCAAAACAAAACAAAAGCAAATTTTGAAAAACGCGCAGAGATTCCAGCGACAACATCAGGCTACCTTAAACTGCACGCTCTGATCACGTGCAACAGCGGTCAACATTTCACGGGTAACAGTGAACTGTTTCCCGTTTGACGTCATAGTTTTCCCGATTTTGCGTTCAAGGCATTTGGCGATAAACATTCATTGTTAGATGTCATGTGACCATGGACTAGCCAATGAATGGTCGCTCTGTAGCGGGGAAAACGCCAGCTTTATAACAATAAAAGTTTAAAAATGGAAGTTTAAAATACGGTAGTTATACTTCTTTGGAACACACGACAAAACGGAAACGCTAGAAATGAACACATAACTGGGTTATTCATAATTTCACAATTTCTCATCTGCAGTAGCATTGCCTTCTATATTTTATTTTTATCCCAGGCGATTCGATCATAACAGGCTGATAACTGTCCCAGATTTGACTGGTGTTACCGTGATGATTTATATGTAAGTTAAAATTAAGAATCCATGCGACGTTATGTGTTATTTAGGAGAATGTCATTTTATCCCCAGAAGCATTATTGTCTGATTGCAAGACTATTACTCGAAAATGTGATCCTCTCCAGCGTCCCTTACCTTCAGGATAGCCTCTTGATCTAAGTGGCTTTAAGCGTATTGTTAAATACACGAAAGTCGGGCCATACCTAATCCGCCTTTTTATCTTTCGTCGATAATTGTTGCCTTTTTTTAATCTTAGGGTTCTTGTGGCTCCAGTCGAAAATCTCCTCAGTTGCTTCAAATTTGCCTATACACTTTATATAAAAACCTTAAGGAATGGGGATAACCACGGAAAAAAGATTTATTTTATAGGGTGCTGATGATTTACTGTATCTATTTTCCCATGCATCCTTAAGTTTCTACATGACAAAACGTTAAAGCATTGTTCTAAGTAAAGCTATCTTAAATTATTAGCTCTTGCTATAAGAAATATTCCGTTTTGTTGTGAACCAAACGCCGAGTGCTATCCTATAACCCTTAGGGCAGCGTATGCAAAATTGGCGTATAAGTTCTGTTCTTGGTGTGAACCAAGCATAATTCCATCGATTTGGACCTGTTCAGCTCAAATCCTGAGCACAGTCAAAATAGATCTAATTATTAAACCAGATTGCTGGCCAATATAGTATCTCTAACAAAGTAGGTGTCATCAGAGTATTGGGATAATTTAAATTATTTGGAGATTAGTGAAAGTCCTTTTATGGAGTGGATACATTACTTCCAATGGCGTATGCCCGAGGCTAGACGCCAATAACAAAGTGAATCCGGAAAGAGGGCTTTCCTATCTAACTTATCGTCCCAAGAAAAAAAAAAGTGTTTCAAGGTCACTGTTAGTACTGTAACGGGCCAAAATAAGGGACAGATCCTTCACGTAAATACACACGCGTCTTTTTAATTATCTTCTCAATTCTCCGACTCAGACCTCTCCCGGAGATCCTATTACAACAGCGTGGTGATTTCGCAACAACAAATAATGTCACGCATTCGTTCGTCACAGTACCACAACTCTGTATGGTCTTTTTAAAATTTTTAAACCATTTTGCTAACACATTCTCAAACCAAAAGTTTCTAATATCCTGGATGAAACGAAGATTCAAAGCTGTCAAAAGCTTTATTTGTAATTAATAAAAAAAAACTGCAATGCGAGGAATATGTCCTGACAACGTTCAATAATGTTTGAAATCAAGCGCATACTTTGCGCAATAAAACTCTTTTTAACGCAACCCGTTTGATGACTATGTAACACATTAAATACATATATGACCGGATTTATGAAAACCGTG